ACCCGACACAGACAGGGCATGTTACCACAGCTCTGCCCCGGGTTCAGAGCAGTCTGGTCTGAGGGCAGAGCGCCAAGACCAGTGATCTCATGGGAGAGGCTGGAGTGAAATTCATAGGCACATGGCTCTTGGAATTTGTCAGTGACCTGGGGGTGTTGGAGAGCAAGGAGTGCCAGAGCTGATTATAGCAGCTATTTGTGATGTTTTTTCTCACCTGGTTCATAGTTTCATCGTCTTTCTCAGTAAGTGTAGTGATTTGTGCTGGGTTTTTCATTTGTGTCCTGTTCCTGCTCCAAATATAAGCTGCGGCTGCTTGGGTTTTTGTCAGTTGTTGTCATTTGCATACGTTAAGTTTTGATATATTGATGTTTGTCTAAATGCATATATTCTAGGTACTCCTTGTAACCCTGGCACCAGCTTTGTTTCGCTCTTCAAACTTAGTTGTTTTCTGCACATGCTATCTTAAACTGTGATTGAAACAGAGTTTGATTCTCTTCATTGATATAAATATTTGTGGACCCCTTCCATATAAACTTACACTCTTCCTTTCTGGATAGGATTCAGATTCTCAGTTACTTTGGTCTGTTTCTGTACTGTATACTCTGAAATATTACTTATTTCTGCTGCAGCATATCCTCGCTCAGTGAGGCACACATTTCAGGGCTCTTTCAAATATTTTTCTCTGCCACTTTTATCAAATGCAGTATTTCTGAAGAATACAGCAGCAGTAGTTAAGGACTTTGATTCTTATTTTGTTTACTGCGTTTGCTTATGTGTTGTACAAGAAGCTGTCCCCAACCAGAAGTACAGAAGCTGCCTGTCATCTGGTAGAATTGGTAGGGCCATGTGAATGAGATCTCATTCCCAGAAGAAAGTTGCTGTGAGGAAGGAGCCAGCTTTCCTGTGCCGGACCACCACAGAGTGGGTGTGTGAGCAGGCTAGCAGATCGCCAGCCCTCTCATTGTCCGAGCCAGTGCTGCTGTGACTGCACGTGCCCTGGCCGCCTGTCAGCACTGTGCACTTGCCTGGGATACTGGCACCATCTAAGCCCGGCAGTCAGCAGCACAGGACAGCTGCTACCTTTCTTCCCTTGTCCTGCACTTACAAGATTTCCCTCGGTTCCACCTTAGCTGAGGCAAGAGGCCCCACCTTGTGACGACTCAGAGTACTGCAGACTTGTGGGAGAGACGGATCAAACTGCGGTCTGTTCTACAAGTGGTGAAAGGGAGTCATTAAACTATTTCTCTAATATACTGATTCAGGGAGTTGCATCTGTGTAGGAGAGCCATAATAAACTATTGACGTTGTATTCACACTTTCACATTTTTAATGATAACTGTCTTTATGTGTCATTTTCCCAATTGCTTTACCAGTTGGGTTTAGGCAGAATTTTAGGGAGACCAGATTGTTCAAGCTCAGAGTCTCTTTTAGCCTTGACACTGGGATTCATATCCCTTACGAGCAGTGCCGTGGGGTCTTTAATGACCAAGTAGTCAGAACTTCAGCATGGAAGTCTCATCCATGGAAAGGCTCCTCCTTCAGCAGTGTCCCATAATGAGAGTGATGGGTTTGGTCAGTTTTGGAGAGCGCCACCTGCTAATCCACCATCCCTTACAGCCGCAAGCTGGCTCTCCCTACAGGTCTCCCATTCCTGGACTGACCAGGCTCAGCTTTGCTTACCTTCTGACATCTGATGAGATCCGGCTACAGGCTGCTGTCAAATCCTTTTAAATAGAAGTATTAAGATGTACAAGAACACCCCTTTCTACTGTGGGATGGTGCAGCCTGTAGGACTGACCGTTTCCTTTCATAGCTGTCGCTGTGAAACCCGGGCCTGTGCCTATGTTGTGTTCTTCACTTGTCCATCCAGTCAGTAAAAGAGAACCCCCAGCCATGTCTTCTCTTAACTTCTTACTTGTTTTCATGATATCCTGGCTGTCTGCCTTAGTTGTGCAATGTTTCTTTGTGGTTTAAGGGCACAGTTGCTGTGTCACTCTGTTGCTTTTTGTAGTCAGGCCACTCAAGTATCACGAGTGCTGCAAACAGGTTACTTTTTATAAATCGTGTATCCAATGTTCTGCGTGTTAACATTCTTATTTGATTAATTGAGTTGGTGGGGTTTCTGCACTGCGTGACTTTAGGATGCCCTAAGCAATATAATTTCTGAGCACTGTGTGAGCCTCTGTCCTGTCCACAGCAGTATCAGGAGTTTGTTCCTGAAATGCTCATGTGTTTTCTGTCCTTCCTGTTCTGATCACAGCCTTCTGATTGGAGACAGACGGCCAGGCAGGGGGAGCGGGCAGAGCTTTGCAGCTGACATGCTGATCTGACAGGCGGCTGGTAAGTGACCTTCTGGGAATGAGGTTTGTATTGAATGCTCTGTCATTACTGTAACAGCTCGAATTAATGGCCATTCCTTAGGGATGACTCACCACAACCAGGATTACAGCTGTATTGCCAGGTTTAAAATAAATTAGAACTGTTTAGCACTTCTTTGTTACCTACTCTGACAAAAGCTGCAGAACTAATAAAACCTTTGACCCCTACTTATATTGGTGTGCGATTACGGACAGGAGGAGAGGGCTGTGAATTTTTCTAGACTCCCCCAAAAGGGTAGAACAAGGTCTTTTTTGGCAGCTAAACAAGGATACTTCTATAAGACCATCAACTTTTTTTGTTTTGTTTTCTGAGTAAAGGCAGGGCTTCCTTCACTTTTCTAATGGTGCTTTGCGGCTCCAGGTCAAAGGCTCACACAGCCAGACCACTCACTACTTTTTAACAGAGCTGACTGATCTTTAAGGGCTGTGAGGGATACCAGCTCTGTTTCTCTTCAGGAGGAGGGTGCAAGGCAGCATAGGTCAACTGTGTGCTCAGTGTGCACCATGTACAGTTAAATCCCAAGATCATGTTAACTTTTCAGAGTGCTTTTTGCACTTTTTGCATTTTGAAAGTAAAAGTTCTGCCAAGAGTAGGCAGTTTTTCTGACATTTTAAGTTAAGTTCTAACATTTTACTTCATTTCCCTTATGGTAATCCTAGGAATTCAAGATTTAGCTTTTTACCTTTTAGAATAGCGAAATATTTGTTCTATTCTTATATCCTATTCACAATTGTTGATCAGCTTGGCTTACAGCTGCACAGGAGAATGAGGACTTGCGCTTACATGTCTCTGCCATGCCCACCTGTTAGAGCCATTTGTCACTCTGTGAGCTGCAGTGGCTTATGGGAAAGTTAGCACCAGCTGGTGCAGGGCTGCAAGCTCGAAGGCATCCAGCATGATCCAGACATTGTTCTTAATTAACCGGGATACACTTGCAAGATCCAGCCCCAAGGAAATGGAGGCATTCAACCAACAGAGTTTGCTTGCTTTTATACTTGTCTAGCAATCTTACCGTATGCTCACTGTGTAAAATGCATGCACACCTTCAACACCAACACGGACGTATGTTGGTGATGATTCACCATCATTAGTACTTCTATGTTTTTCCCTCAACTATACACCTCCCTTGAAAATTCATTTTTACCCAGGTTGTTTCGATGAAGACATTTCGCACACATAGTACATGTAACGTGTTTAATTTTCTCCAGCATCTCACTGCTCACCCTTTTTTTTGTGGCAACATGTTTGTTACTCAACAACATGCAACAAGACAGTATGTGAATCATTGAGGGGAAAAAAAAACAGTGGTGCAACACTCACAGGAAAACCCTTTATTTCAGTAGCCTGTGAGTAAACTTGTGAATGTAATGGGCTTTTCTCCAAGTGAGAGTCTTGTGCTTTCGTTGTGGTGTTCTAAAACGATTTGTGTTCCAATGATGATAACACCCCACGCTTCAGACATTCGGATGTTCTTACTCTTTCCCTCCCCTGGTTATTGAAGTTGTCCCATCAGCTTTCTTGACAGTGCCTGCCTGTATATGACCAACATTAAAGGCCGCAGTCGCACAAAAACAGGGTGGAGTCTCTTTTGCTAATAGAAGACAAGAGCCGTACGTTCAACGTGTCAGGAGAAGAGGCCCCTTTGGTCCATGTGGAAACCATTTCAAACTGTTGGACGATGCCGTGAGCTCTCTTATCACTTTAAATGGCCATTGCGTCTGCTCCAGTTATGAAAGCCGTGTACTGTATGTGGAGTCTCGTGAACAGATCAGTCAGTGACGGTGCTTGCCTGAGCACACGTTGAGCTCTGTGATTGCAGGTTGGAGCCTGCATCAGGTCACTAGCCCACTGCGACTGGGATTCCTCGGGGGTGGTAGGTGGCCAAGGTCTGCTGACAGTAGGCTGTCCCCTGGTCACCTGCAGGCTTATGTGGGGGGAGCTTCTCTCCAGTATGAGGAGGTGCTGTCTGTGATGTTGTGTTGCCATGCTGCTTGCATGTTAACAGACAAGGTGTTTCCTGGTTGTGGCATGTTCCTGACCTGCATGTTGCCCTGTGTCTTTGCTCAGTGGGACGGATGGCTGTGCTGCCCCGACCATGAGGTAACTGCTGCCCTTCTTGTGCCACGAGGAGACAGATGGTATGGGAATGATGGACCTCCCCAATGGGCAGTCACATGTCGCCAGCTTCACTGCTACTGCATCAGAGGTGAGTGACAGCGCAGGGCAGCAGGGCTGGGGAGGGGTGGGTGCATTGGAAGACTACTTCTCGCAAGTAAAACAGGATAAAAGACTTCAAATCCTGATGAAGGACAGGAGCATTCACAATACAGCCTCTCCAGTCAAGTCTGGCCTAGTGTCAACTCCTTTATTATTTAATTGAGCTCCCATATCGCGAGTTAGGCAATTAATGCACCGACAGTGAAAGATTGGTGCAGGCGATTGTTTGCAAGATCTGCCTCTTGAGCAGTTCTGCTGTTGAGCTTCATCGATGTTTGTTTGTGTGTGTTGCCCACTGTTCAATGCCGGCGTTTCTAAGCAGTGTCTTTCAAGAGAATGTTCTAATCGCTCTGCAGGGTGAGATTTTTTGCATTAATTTGTCTAGATGTTTTCTCACAGAACTTAATTTGTTTTTTTGCATGTTACTGTTTGTATCATTATACCATTCTAAAATTCAAATTCTTTCACGTTGGACATGCAGTAGAAAAAGCAGCTTGTTGATGTCAGTTTTATTTTTGCGCCATTTATCCTATACCCCTTTCCGATTTCGAGCTCAAGTCTTGTCACAGTTCTCTGTAAGCCTTGGGCCAACATGGCATAGACAAGAACTGTACACTGTCCTGTAAACCGTGAGCTTTTCAACCTTTCCTCATTTTCCACACTATGGCATACAGTACAGGAGAGTGACAGCTCTAACAGCACGGCGAGCTTGCGTGAGACAGTAGTGGACTGTGCTGTCAGCTGGCCCAGTGTGTGGCAGTGCTGTGTGGGGTTACAGTGTGTATGACGGTAGGGGACTGTGCTGTCAGCTGGCCCAGTGTGTGGCAGTGCTGTGTGGGGTTACAGTGTGTGTGACGGTAGGGGACTGTGCTGTCAGCT